AGTTTTTATCAGCAGTACTGCTGAAAAAAGTATTTGAAAATTCCTGAACAAATTAGTTCTCTAATTCTGCCGAGCTTAATATATTGGTGTGAAAAATAAGCTATGTGCTTTTCAGAATTAAATAAAATTATAGAAAGGTATCTGGATCTTGAATTTAAGATACAAACTTTCAAAACCTTCTGGCACAATTGCTCCCACTAGGTAAAGTAACCCCTGCTTTGGAGGAAGTTTTGTTGGATTGTGTAAAAACCTTCTAAAAAAGGCTTTGCAAAGTTACTTGTTGACTGATCTGTAGGTTAGAGCAAGTTCAATGGGAGCGCCGTTCTACTGTCTGATGCCTTCCTTTAGACCGTGCGAGACTGCCACAAAATCACGCGAGCTCTCTTATGTGCAGTCTGAAGCTTACAGTTGCTTACAGTTGTGAGTTTTTACAACTTTTTAAGTTGGAAGTTTTCTTGACTTGCTCCTAGTGGGCCAAACCAAGTATGAACCTGTCCTGAAGCCAGTTCCAAAGTGGATGTCAGAATGCTGGGAATGGTGGAAAGAGAGTGGGACATAGTAAACTAAACTCTTCTTGAGGCAGTTTCTGAAGCAGTATCCAGTTGGAAATTCCTTAGGAGGCAAGTATGGTTACTGAGTGTGACTGCTGTCCTGTAGCAAAGCTATTTATGAGACTTTGGAAAAATATGATGTGGAATCGGAAGAGAAAAGGGAGGATGGCAGAAGAAAAAGAAATGCCTAAGTGTTCTGGAGGCACAGGTATAATTTATATGGGGAGCAATACAATAGATGATGTACCTCCTATTCTTAGCATCCTGATTAATTTGTGTGTTTCCTGCACTTGTGCTTTAATACCATGAAGTTTTATGTTGTTGCTGCCCTGTTGTCTTTAAGCTCTTACAAGACCTGCAATGGCTCTTGGTGTTGTCTACAAGTATTTTGGAAATATGAGCAGCATACATGACAGTATATAAATAAACTGTATAATATGGAAGGTCGTTAGTTAGAAGCATATAATTTCAGAGGAGTTGCTTGACCAAGATTGGTATCTTTCTACCATTTAGCCTTTGACTACGCAACTACTGTGCATTATGCCTAAATACAGACTTAATTATGCAGCATAAAAGTGGTATATTTTTCGTTTAATAGGTAGTTATTACAGTGAAACAGTTGTCTTCAAACTGAAAAAACTCGGTGAGGGCTGCTTATTTTCTGAGTATTTCTTACTGTCTCGGATTTAGCTGCATAAGTGAAAATGGTTTGGTGTATTATTTTGTCAAGGTTTTCAGCCTTTGACAGGTAAGGAACTAGAGCTATAGTTGGGTGTATTGTAGAGGTGTTGAAATATCTACCTCTCCTTGTTGCACCCAAATTCAGGAACAAATAGGAAAGAACAGAGACTTTGTCCTATTGTCCAGGAAAATACAGTTTTACAGAATATGGAAAGATTCTTGTGTTTTCTCATCTTTGTACAATGATACTAAAAGATACATATTTTTTTAAACCTCATTCTGTCAAAATGCATTTTGTGAAGAAAAAAATATTAAATCAGAAGAATTATTTTTAATGCAAATGTTGAGAAGATACCAACAATAACAAAACCATAAAATGTTTGTTCAAGTCATGGTATGCTTTTAAAACCTTAAATCCTAAATGCTGTTAGTTTCCTTCCTACTGTTAGACCTTGTTTAACAGCATCACATTTTCAAGTTCTGTCGTCAGTGTAATGAGGTTCTCATTTCCTGTTCTTTGGTTGGTTAGACTTGTTTGAACTTAGAGGGAAAAGTTTTGTCTGAAATTTTTCATGTGTTTCTCTTTCACTTATAGCTGTGTACCTTTTTTTCCTAGGCATGCCTTCATCTTCAAATGTTCTGAAGAACGTTGTTTTTCAACTTTGTAACATTTTTTCATGAGATTTCGTTGTTAATCATGAATAGCATATGCAAAGCTGTGCAGATCAATTGTCTTAATATTTCCTCATGTTGGTGACACAATCAGTTTTTTCTCAAGTAACGCATGATAAAACTGTACTGTGTACCAAATTTCATAGCAGACTGTATATTGCACATATATACTTACAGGTATTTTAGAAATATTGGCTAAGATGGTATTATGCCTGATACTAAGGCATTACAAACACAGAATGAGATTTTCTTGTCATTTTTCTGGTTATTTGTAAAGTACAAGCATGAAGGGGATGATGAAACTAGACACTGAACTATATGCCTTCGCTTATTGTGTGCACTTTCTTTTAACCCTTCTATTTCTCCCTTCAGAATTCTTCTCCCTCAGCATATCTTTTCCAGTTTTCCCTCCAGAACAACCACTTGAGGAAGGCTCAGTACTAGTGTGCACAAGACTGATGCCATTCTGATGTCATGGATTCTAAAGAATGCTCAGTTTGATAAATGCAGTACCGAGACAGCAGACGTGGGCCTGCTTGGAAACAAGGTCTGTCCAGCACCTGTAGTGTGTTGGCACGTCCTCAGTCAAGGTCATTTTTCATCAGTCGTTCTGAAATGGCAATGGGCATGTGTAGAAATCTGAACCATGTTTCTAGTTCCATGGACTGCATTGAAGCAGTAGGATGTGGGGAATGATCACTGTAGAAGGCATTGTTTCTTTGGAATGTGTCATCTTCTGGAAGATACATTATTCCAATATAGATGCACACTACGTTAAACAATATACGCTTTTCAGCATACACCTCTTTGTTGGGTTTTTGGTTTGGTTAGTTGTTTCCCCCCCCCGCCCCTTAAGGTGAAGTAGTGCATCATTTCTTGCTTTACCATTGGAGTACTCATAGTTGAGTTGAAAAGATTTAATTTGGAAATTAAAAAGAAAAATCAATGGGAAAACATTCAATAGCATGGTTTAAATATGCAAATTGATCCAAGTTCAAATTGCTGTGACTTTATTCAAAGTTACATATGTGACGTGAAGTAGCCACTGCGTGTCTGATCATAGTAGGAACTGATCTATTGTCTGTTGATTTATGAAGTACTTGAAGATTTATTTTAAAAAAGCCAATTTCCCTATACGTGGCTGTATATTGTAAGGTCGTGGCCTTCAGATGTTTCCGTGACTCTTCCACAGTTTTGAATTAAATCATTTAGTCATGATACCTTTTTTCTTCCCCCTCCTCTAGGATGTGAATTCTCTAATTCTACTCTGTATCGCTATCCACCATCTTCTCTTATTCTGGTCTGTAGTGCATGATCAGTATAATGCAACAGAAAATGTTCTTGTTTTCTTGCTTTTAGGTGAAGGCAAAGCTCAAACTTAGGGCAAGATAACTTACCATTCATGTGATCTGTAACAGTAAATTAGTTTTTGAAGTGACTGAAAAAATACTTTTTCTTTAAATCTGAACCTGAGGTTTTTAGTTGTTAATATTTTTAAGTCACACGAGTATGCTAATAATTTCAGTTAATTCTGAATGCCACTGCATCCATGGGCCTGAGCTGAATTTTAAGAATAAACCAAATGCTATGATCAGTGACATTTTTATGCTTTTGCACATGTCTCTGTTGCTTTGAGCTAACACATTTCTGAGGGAGGAATTTGGCCTGTAGGATACATAGCTGGCAGTGATGAATGAACAAATCCTGACTAAGGTTCTGAGTGAGTTTGCTTATAAGCACAGGAAGTGTTCTGTGGGAGTGTCAGACAGCAATGAAACACCAAGAAGCCTTTCTTAACACAGAAGAACACACTTGACAACTGCCAGCAACATTTTTTGCAAACAAATCCCACTGTTAGTGTGCTTACCTTGTTTTGTTGTTTGTTTTTTTTTTTTCCTCTCACTTGCTTAATGTGGGGAAAAGTAGTATGCTTCTAATGCAGTATTTTGCTGATTTATTGGTTTGCACTTCAAGAAAAGTGTCTCTTAAGACTGTAAGAGCACTGTAACCTGGAATGAGTGATGACTGGCACAATCAGTGTGCTGTGAAGACTGTCCACTGTCTATTTTGTTTGCTGTTTTTCTTTCTTTCTTGTTTTTTTTTTTGCCATGCCCCTTGATCCTGCTACTCTGGATGGACAACTCATTGTCTTTAGTGTGTCATGTATGTTAGACATTGAACAAGGTGAGACATGAAAACATAGATGTGTGAAGATCTTTGAGGTTAAGCTTAAGAAAATTGATATGTACTTCAGTATTTCTGAACTTGAATTTCGATCTCTTGAATCTAGATGTGTATGTTGAAAAAGTCATGGTATTTTGCCTGGAATTTTGTCTAGGAACCGTTGTGTGCTGCTTGGTTGAGTGTATTGTGCTGAGCCAAGTGAAATTTTTTGTTTAGTATGGTCTGAGCTGATAGTTCAACTTTTTTCATTAATGTTGATCTAGTAGTGCTGGTGTAAGTACCAATTATTTTTTTTGTTAACGTGGCAATAAGCTTTTCCATGTTTTGGGATAAACTCATAAAGGTGAAGACCTTTATGGGTGAAAACCTTTGTGCTAAATCAGTGAAAGAAATGGCGCATGCTACTTGATAATAGGGTAAATTCTACAAAAGTAGGTGTGGGAAAGGACTATAATACATACGTGAACCTTGTTGACCCCTCAAAAGAGGACAGGATAGACCTTTTACTTATTTTTATGGGGCGGGTTTTGGTGATTAAATGGCAGGTAAGGGCGTTGTGTTTATAGGAGCAGGATTGTACTGCTTGTATGGAAGATCTGTATTTGATTTCTTCACATTGGAAACTTCTGTCTTCTGGGGAAAAGGGGAGAGAGACTAAGTAGTTGATTTGCTTTCTGATTAAACAATATACTGTATAACACAAAGTCAAACAGCGATAGAGTCATATTTGGACTGATAGACATTCTTGAGCTTTATTCAAACACAAATGCCACTGTGTTCAGATTTGTTTTTATAAGCTGTGGGGAATGTTCTGAATAACATGTTTGTATTTGAGACAGCTTTGCATCTTTCTGGCCCTCTGTAATTACTGTATTAGGTAGTGTGTGGTTTTGGCTGCCTTAAAATTGGAATATGCTATCAGGGCAGTGGAGTTGCTTGATGCTTGTACAGTGCCAAGTGGTACTGGAGGCCACAATCCGCATAGCTGGTATTCAAAGAACAGAAACTTCTCAGACTTTTACCAACCCTGAAGATTTACGGAGGGAAGGTGAGATCACTCTGTTTGCTTTTTTGTTTTTTTTTTTTTTTTTTTTTTTCCCAGGAATCCTGCTTTTCAGATAGGTAACTCTTGTGGGTTAAGATAAAAAAATGCACATAGATAACTAAAACGTTTATTCTTTGCTTTTTTGCCACGTCTGTGAAGAGACTTGCTGGAAAAGCAGAACTTCCAGTCACGTGACTGTCAGAAGGAGAACATTTCTGAAGAATTAGGAGAGCTTGGTGTAGAAGTGGTTTCAAGGTCTAGGGTTGTTAATATAAGCTGTGTAATATGTACTAAAAGATATACTCTAAAGAAACACTTTCAGTGATACAGATTTGGAAGTGCCTTTTAATCTATTTGCTATCTGTACAGTTGGACAGTTTTTGCTATTATATAGAAAATGCTTAATAAAACAGCGACTTCTGTTGCTGCTCCTAGCGTACATGCTAATAAGTATCCAGTATGTAGAAATGTTTCCCAAAATGTTTATTACAGCATTATTTAAATTCTGATCTAAATGTAATTTGTCAGTTTTGTAGCATATCTATGAGCAACAGCAAAATGAGTTACCACTTAAGTGTAATCTTTATAAACGCAACAAACTTCCTTTCATGTTCTGACATATGGATGGGTGGCATAGCCACTAGAAAAGAGAACTAAAAGCAATTCTGGGAAAGAAAGATTAAAGAACGTACTCTCTTCCCTTAATTTATTGTTCCATCTCTGTTCTGTTGTTTTGTTGTCTTTTTTTCCTTGGATAAATGGATAAGTGAGTTCACCTCTGCTGTTGGATCTTTATAAAGACATTCTGTGACTGCTGCATTTCCCTGTCATGCCTTAAATATAGTAAACACAGTTATTATAGGCCAAGATTTGTTTTGTAAGTAGTTAAAACATTTGAATACAGCCAGATTTCTAAAATACCTCAGTGCAAAGTGTGGAGGCTACATTTCTTTGGAATCAAGCTATAAACCTCTGAGAAGATAAAATCCCTAAAGGAATATAAATCAGGTCAAATAATAAAACACCTGTAAAGGGGAAAAAAAAACCCTTGTGTGTGTAGTCCATGACATCTCAAAGGACATAAGCATAAGTAACAACTCTGTTGACTAAAACAAATAAATAGGACGGGGAAAAAATAAAATTGAACTAGTGGCAAATGAATTGTAGTCACCACTGTGAAGAGCCCCAAAATTTTTTTGCTTTTTTTACATTCCTCACCACCACCGTGGTACCTCTGCAAAATAGTGAGGAAGATGAAATGTAAGTCAGTAAGAACAGTATTAGTGTTTGTATTTTATGTGTTTATTATCTCTTTATATCTCTCTATGTATCTATCTATATACAAGAAAAACAAGTATATTATACTTGTTATTATGTAAGAGATACTATTATAATGATAGAATCTGTGTATATATACACACACAAAACATTTAATTACATAAGAGTGCTTGCTTGTACATAAATACAAAGCATGCATTTTCAGTTCCACTTTTTTTTTGAGATAAGGTAAAAGCAGAAAAATTTTTAAATCAATAATGAAAATGAGACAAAATCCAAAATGTGACAGGAGTTAAGAAGACTGAGAAGGTATTGAGGGACTATAAGAAAAAAAGTGAGAATGAAGGAGATTGTTTCATAATGTAAGAGCAAGAGGCCTTTAATTTTGAAAAATAATAGTTTTGAAGTTGATACAAGGGAATATATTTAACAGTACATAAACTTAACATCTACAATTTGCTGCTTAGGACATCCTGAAGTTTAAATGCTTAGTGGGATTTAAAGTCTTAAGAATTCATATGAATACCCTTCTTTCATAAGCCAGCTACTTACTTAAGAATAACAAATAGCCTCTGTAGTCTCTGCACTAGATTTAGTTGCACATTCTTTGAAATAGATTGTGCTATTCACTGTCAAATATCTGGACTAGGCGTCATTGAAGAGGCAATGTCATTATTCTGAAATCAGTGTTGCTGGATTTTAGCTTCATGCAAAAATGTTTTTATACTTGGAATACCTAATTTTTTTTGAGAAATCACAGACATTTAAAATATTATTTGAGGTAGTTCATAGGTGGTTATGGATTATTTACTTTGACTAAAGGCAAAAGGAAATTGAAAATATTCAGCAAATTTCTACTTATGCTCTTGGCTGTGCTTGTGGAGCAGCTACTCTAATTGTATGTCTGTATCATATTACGTGTAGAAATAATCCTTCTGGTGGTGTTTTAAGATGTTAATGTGTGAGATCTTGTGTTCATACAGAAAACTGTTTTGTACCAACCTCTGAGATCATTGCTGTAGAAGAAACTGAACTTAACAAGAAACAGCGTAATATTGGCAAATGGCAAAAAATGGCAAAGCCATATGCTTTCACAGGTAAGGCAAATAGAGGATGCTTGTGCTAATTACTTTGGAGGTACTTTAGGGCAGACTCAAAAGGAAACTTCAGATTTTTTTTTGAACAAAAATTATGTGTGTAAACAAGAAATAAAAATAACACAAAAAAACCCAAACCAAAATAACCCACCTCCCCCCAAAAACAAACACAAAAGCAAAAGAACCCAAAAAACAACCACAAAAAAAAAAATTTAAAAAAAAAAACAAAACACAAAAAAACCCCAAACAAACAAAAAACCCACCAAAAATCTGCCATCTTACATTTAAAGACCCTTATTTTGGAAAATAAAACCCTTCCTTTAGGAACACATGCTGTATTTAGTTATTTAATGAAGTACTGCTTAATGTCTTACATTTCTGCTGCTGAATGACTCTGGAGCAGGACACTTGCTTTCTGCTACTTGACTAGAAAATCAAGAGAGAGGCTGGGAAAATGAATCCTAAATATTTGAGGTTTTGAAAATTATCCCTAACCATCAGAATGTGGACATGTAAAGGTTCTTTGTATTTATTGACTGCATTCTTAAAACAAAGTTCCAGAAATAAATTTCTGTTTATTTTGGGGAAAAAAGAGTGGTGGCTTCTGTGCTGCAAAGCTGGGGCAAATGTGATTGCTCCCATGCCAAAATTTTATGTTGTAAAGTACTTTCCTCACATTTAGTCCTTCAGTAACAATGACTGCCGATACTGTAGGTGGAAAGGTAAGAGTGCTTCTTGTCTCACCAGCCTAATTCTTAAGGCACAGGAAAACTCTGAATCTTTTTTTTCCTCAAATTTCAGCTTTATGAAATTAAATTTGGGGCAAATGTGATTGCTCCCATGCCAAAATTTTATGTTGTAAAGTACTTTCCTCACATTTAGTCCTTCAGTAACAATGACTGCCGATACTGTAGGTGGAAAGGTAAGAGTGCTTCTTGTCTCACCAGCCTAATTCTTAAGGCACAGGAAAACTCTGAATCTTTTTTTTCCTCAAATTTCAGCTTTATGAAATTAAATTTCCCTGTTGGTTACATGGGAGCTGATGTGGGGGTTTGGCTTATCCTGTTAATCTTATGGCATTTTATATTATGTAGACATTGTAGACTTTAATACGGATAAAATAATACGTAAGCTCACTGAACTTTTGTATATCTATAATCAGTTTATGAAAAATGGATTGTATTTGGTTAAAAAAGAAGTTTATGTTTGGGTATCTGCTATAAGGTAGTGACCTAGAACAAGTGTTTTGGATTATGTTTTCATTTTGACTCTTTACAAATGTTCTGTTCATACTCTGAATGCTCCTGTCATTTGCGGAAATGTGTAGTGGAGGTTAATAACCACATTTTTCCAAAGGTGGATATTTTGGAGATCTCTCTGAAATGCATTTGTCATTTCACAGAACTGTCTCATTGTGCCTTTTTTTTTTTTTTAAATTTAAATAGTGTATTATGTGAAGAAAGCCCGAAATCACCGCTGGCGGTGCAGTGATGTGACGTTTTGGTGTGTTGATGAGCAGTTGTGTAATCAGTGGATACAGGCACTGAAAGAATTACTTGAAATGCAGAGTAAGTTTGACTAAGCTACTAACATTTGCAGCACCATTTTAGAGGCTTGTACATCAATTCATATTATTTTGATATATCTACTTTTTTGAACTCTTAAGAGCAGCTTATACTCAAAAGTTGAGGGAGCTGAGAGTTGAAGTGTCTCCTTATCACTGCTTTTGTGTCTTGCATATTTGCTAAGTTGTGCTGTTTTAGTGTTTTAATCTAATCAGTCAGTACTATGAGTGTCTTATGATTTTGCTCAGATAAAAATGCCCGACAAAATAGGGGCACATTAGAACCTTAACAGAGGCTTTGAATGACCATAGCTTTGGAGAAAGTAAAGGGCAGATGTAAGCTCAGAGATTTGAAGTACTCGAGATCTGAGGACAAAGATTGTAGCAATTGCTAAGATTTATGAGTGACTTTGTGTGTGTCTGTCTCACCTTTCCAGTCTCTCTCAACAACCATGTGCCTGATGTAGTAAGAATTCCCATTAATCGTTTCTGGGACTCTTGAACATCTACTTCTTGGAAGGCTAAAAGTAGTTTTGCAGGAGTTATTCCTGAAAGAGATACCTTGGTAGATGTCAGGGAGCAGCAGGAGCAGAGCCACTCTGGAAGAGAATGGGGATCAAGGAATACCATAGCACAGGCAGTGCCCTAACTGAGCAGGGCAGAAGGAGCAGGGGTGGGGATAGCAACAGGTCCGATTTACAGCCCAGATGAGATAAAGTAATCAAGTCTATCCAAGGAGGCCAGGCAGGAGCAACAGGAGATGGAGCCAGAGGCAGAGCTGGAGATAAACTACCTGCAGCGTAGGTCTGAGGTCAATCTGAGACACACAGCTGGAGAAGGGTCTGGATACAAGTACACCTATGATGTGACTTAAGGAAGTACTTAAAGGCTCATAGAATAAAAGTGGATATTTAACAAAAAATTTTCTTCTGAACGGGCATTGGAAGCATGCATCTTACTAATATTTTTGTGTTCTATATGTTAAATGAGGTATCCAGCTTCCGCTAAAATATTTCAAGAAATGGGGTTGTGCACCGATTCAGTACACCTGTGAGAGATGTGGCCTGGGCACTCATTTCTGTTTGAGTGCAGGTATTTATTCTGCTGGTAACAAACTATTTCAGAAAAGGTAACAGGTTCTCAGGGAGGGAGAATGGTGCTTTGGATGTGTGGCAGCTTTAAACCAAACAGCCTAGCTTGAGTGAATTTATTATGCAAGTGTGCGGACCTAATAACTCTCTTTATTCTTTCCTTTTAACATAATAATTTAGAATGCCATCTGAAGAAGTGCGTACGTTGTAACAGGTCTTTGTATCCTATAGGAAAAAAAGGAAGGCTCTCTAGGTGCAGCAAGCATTACCCTTTTGTGTATCTGTTAGTATAGAGGTATAATAATTGTCTTCGTTACCACCACCAATGTAAATCCATAACTATTTGAACAAACTTGAGACAGAAATATCAAAGGTGTTTTCTGGGGGCAAGGGGTTACACTACAGGGCAAGCACTTGCTGTGCAGCATGTAGTTTGTAAGGTATTCTTATTGTGTGTTTATCACAGAAAGGAAATGCATTTTACCTATGTTACCAAAGCAAGAACATTGTTTAAATAAATTAATGTAAAAGTATTTCTATTTATGTTTCACTCACAAGCACCTTTCCTAATGCTGTCCTTGGTTTGTCTTTTGTCTTGTATGCCTGTGATGTTAATGTAATTTAGTGGGAAGGTACTGCAAGAATAGTATGCATAAGAATGTGAGACATGGAGTCAGATGAAATGATTCTGAATTTCACCTACTGTCTTATTACCAATTTGTTCAGTACAGTCAGTATCCTCACTCTAATAAAGAGGATAGATGAAGCAGGTTTTTATAGCTCGTTGACAAAGAGTTAAAGAGTTACAAGAGTTAATGAAGAGTTATAAAAGGCTTGTATGCTGTGTTCACTTTGTTTACAGGTTTGTTTTTGTATAGCTTGTTGAATTTTTGTTTTGTGTATAAAAGCAGTATACTATAATATTTTTCCTTACTGCAGCGTCTAGACCAAAGCAGTTGCTTGTGTATATTAATCCATATGGAGGAAAACGACAAGGGAAGAGGATTTATGAACAGAAAGTTGCTCCGCTCTTCAGTCTGGCTTCTATCTCCACTGATGTTATTAGTGAGTGATGAATATTTTAATTTCTTAATAATCACAATATGAACTCTTTAAAATATCTCTGAGTAGCTTAAATTCTTTCTGTTACTTACCTTTTCTTACTAAGGAAATGAAACTAAGTGGTAGAGAGGGAATGTTTTTTAATTAAAGCATAGGTAGCCAGATAAAGAGTGACCTTATATAAATTTTCTGCTTACTAAACTAAAACTTCTGGTTCTTCCGAGCCATTTGAGCTCTTCATTTATAAGATACTGCCTTTCTTCTCTTTTTTCGTTTTACTGTTAAAACCAATTGTTCGTTTGCGTAGTTTTTTAGTGAAGTATTTTTCCATATGTACTGCAGTACATGTCTCTTTCTGTTCTTTCCTTGGCATAAAACTTTTTGAAACACATTTTATGGGCATACTGTTTTATGGTCACATTGGTAATAGAATCATGGTTATTAATGAATTAATAATAACATTTTTATAGTAGTATATTATATACCATTTTATAATAGTACTTTTATAATAGTAATTTTAACGTGTTTTATTTCTTCGTAGTAACTGAACATGCTAACCATGCTAAGGACAATTTATTTGAAGTTAATATTAATAAATATGATGGGTAAGTAACTTTTTTTCTTTACTAGCTGATATATACTGTAATCTGTCTGTTACTGTCTCTAATTTAAAATAGTGGCCTTCATTGCTGATACGTTTATTGCAACAACTGAAAGTTCTGGCGCATATTCCTTTCCATAGGAAATCCGCGTTTAGGAGTATCAAAGGAAAAGTAAACTGTTTCAGTAAACCTGTTCAACACAATATATTCAAGTATAGAATAACAATATTTGCATGAGATTTGTGTTCAAAAGCTGGACGAGCAGAATTAATCTTATGTTCATAAGTTGCGCATTCTGTGATAGTTCAAAAGCTATCCTGAAATGTTTTGTGGTATAGGTGAGCTTGACATATGCATGAGTCCAGAACACTACATCAGTAGCATTCACCCTGTGTGTAAAAGCCATGAACTGTTCAGAAGCATTTCAGATAGTTCCTCTTGCTATGTAGGACTGTTCAAATAATGGCTACATCATTTGGCTTTAGTTGTGTTTGTTCTGTTGTGGAATTACTGTTTTAAAAGAAGACCTAACTGAATTGTGAGATTGCGTTCCATTATTAAATCTGCTGTGGAATCAGAATATTTAAATAAATAAGCTAGTCATTCCAGTTTCCGGTTCATGACATGAAACAAGTTACATGACTGGAAAATCATGAAAATGTATGCAGAACCTATGCAGATAAACTCTGATAACTACAATATTTTAAAATAGTATCTTCTTGTGCTTGTTAACACGTACATTTAAACTGGTAAGTTGCAAAAAATAAAACACTTTATCTTTTCAGAGTACGTTTGCTAGGGGAGCAGATCTATATGCATTGTATAAATCAAGTGAGGGCATGATGTTGACAAATTGTGGGAGTAAGAAGCTACACCAACAGGTTGAGTTCTTAGACTTCACCTGCTTTAAAATGAGTTGACTTTAAGCAGTTTTGATTATACTGGGATTTCTCTTCATTTTGCAGAAGTGCAAGGAAGCGAAAGTGGGATCCTAGAAAAACCTAGTTAGTTAAGATTTTTCCTTTTCATTTGACTTAAGTGATTTGAAATAGATAATACTGACTGTTGGTGAAATTCCAGTACAGAGCAGAAAAGGAAAACAAGTAAGCCCATATCCAATCCTAGCAAATTGTTTTTTTACAACAACTGACAGTGAGCAATTGTAGCGGTACTGGAAGTGGTTTTGGCAGGTTCAAACAGTATTTAATTGTAGAATTTTTGTTTTTCTTTTGTTTTCTCTCTGTAACATTTCTGAGCTAAACAATTGGTTGGAGAACTGCATCTTTTTGGAATCTCATGATTCTTCTGTTCCCAGGCTGGGACTTAATGGCAGTTAGCCTGGGAAGTGCAGCCTGTCTTTCCAAGCCTGATTTTTGTCCATCATGTACAAGTCTGTTTCTATGGTGAACAGTGATGTTAGGAAGGAGTTCTTGTATTAATACTACTTTTTAAATAAAAGATCATGTGGTTCTGTGGAAGATTTTAAAAATGATGGAACCACAGAAATGTGTGTGTTTCTTCAAGTTTGGCTTTTCTCATGTACAGGTTAAAGCTGCTTTGGATTCCTGCATCTAATTGTTGTTCACCTGTCCTCTTACGTTGGTTCTGATAAGTGGCTTTCCCTTCATTCATGATGAGTTTCTTAATTTAATCTCCAGATTCCTTATTTGGCCAAGCTGTACCTGTAATTTTGGAACTAGATACAGGATTCTTAATGATAACCACTTCACTGCTTTCCGAGTGTATTTACTTGAGACGGCTTATTTAAACCTTTTGTGTGTGTTGCCTGTTTGTTCTTCCCATTTCCCCTTATAAGAATTTCTTATGGTGAGTGTACTAATCTAATAGTTTAGTGAAAGAACAGCTTCCCTTTAAAGGCAGTTACTTAAAATGTTTATTCAGTTACAGTATAGCAGTTTTTTGTACAGCATGCTGTAGTTGTTCTGCACAATGATGTAATACTGTGCAGGTAATGACCATGTTTAGAGTAAGTATGACATGTATGAATTGCTGTGCTTCCTTATGCATATACCTGTTGCACAAGTCTTTGTAAAACTGTTTCAGGTTGTGGGGGTTTTTTTTCCCCCTATTTCTTGAATTATTTCACAGAATGGTTGATATTAGGAGGGAACTCATTAGTCTTGTGGATTTGCCTCTCCTGAAGTCCTTTAGCATATGTAAGTTACTGTTATCATCTGTCTAAAATGTGAAATGCCAGTCCATGAAAAAAATAAACCCAAAATGTAAGAAGCACTGTAAGATTATCGCTTTTACAGTAATTCTTCACTAGGGGCTTTCACACACTTGTGACTCACACATTGGTCGTCTGATACTTGCAATGAATTTGGTCATGCTGATATTGTGTATGTGAACTTCTTTATCTGTCAATATTTACCCTTGATAGGTATAGACATTCATATTGTTGTCATCTCTGAGCCTGGATATAGTATTTGGTATAAATAGAACACTACTGAGACAACATTGACCTTGAACTGACGTGGAAATTTTTGTCCACTTAACTTCTTTCTTAGAGTCTGCAGGGAAAGATGAAGGCTAAAGTTCAGGAATAATATAGTTAAGCTATGAGAAGAGAAATTAAATATAAAAATTGAAAACAAACATGCTTTTCTCCTTTCTATCCCAGTCTCTTAGGCCTTGACTTAGAGTTGGACAGTGTATATTTTTAAGACTGTCCTCTCCATTAATGAAAAAATGACTGTGTTTTTCAAGCTTTCAATCTGCTGAAAATACAATAATAAATAAATGTAAATAATCAATACTTAAACTAACTTGTCCTATGAAATAAGTGCTCATTCCGCAATATCTGTTGTTGACTATGTGGAAGAGTAAGTGTTAATTTATGCACTGGAAATGATTGCTATAGATAACAGTAAACATTCCTAAACATGTATGCTGGGGACTACATGCATAACTTTGGATTTGTCACATGTTCCTTTAAAATGTACTTGAATTAGTTTTTCAGTTAAAGAATGTTTATGCTTTTAGAGTTCAGGGTGTGCATTTGATTATTGTGCATGAAATGTATACTGCTGTAAAATAGTCTTTTACTTCCTAGTATTTGCTTGGCTGTGGACTCTCTGCTGAGCTTTAACATGTTGAGGATCTGTATAGCTGCTGCACCAGCTCTGACCTGAATTAAGTTTGCAAAACACAGTTTTGCATCTGGTAACATTTAGAACTCTGTGTTTCAGTATGAATGGTTATGTAGATATACATGACTTCTGTCTGTTTGATGGGCTCTCAGCATGTTCAAAAGAGCATGCAAGCATGCACTTTTCTGTTTTTTTCTTTTTTGACTTTCATATAATGTATATCCCTATTAAATGAATAGTGTAAAATATACTTCTGCTTGAAGCCACAAATATTAACTTACTTCCCTTTTTAGTAAAGGTATTCTTATTTCTATTTTGTTTACTTAGAAAGCTGTATGTACAGTCCTGTTCAGTGTTTTCCTTGTATAGTGAATTTCCACTGATACTTGTCCGTCTGCACACAACAATAGAGGATAAAGATTATTTTTTTTTTGGGGGGGGCGGCATTCCAACATTTTTTTTCTAACATTACAGACATGTCTAGATGCATTTGCAGTTGTGTAGCTTGAATTTTTTTTTTTCTGCTTCTTGTTAATTGCCAAGTTGACTGTGGGCTACTATCTTCTGTAAAAATGGAGGAGGAGAACAGAACAACTATTTTTGATGTGCCTAGTGCATGCCCTGAGTAGAACACTTGTTTATTGACTGTTAGTGTGCATTCTAATTTGTGTTTCCTGGCAGTGTTGTTTGTGTTGGTGGGGACGGCATGTTCAGTGAAGTGATGCATGGTCTCATTGGAAGAATGCAGAAGGACTCTGGCATAGACCAAAATAATCCCAAAGCACCGTTAGTCCAGTGCAATATAAGGATTGGCAT